TTCTATGAAGTCCAACCCCTTGTATGTAAGGGGGTGTATTAAGTCATGTGATAAGATCAAACATTCATAGCGAGCCTACACGTGAAGGGGTGGTTTTGAACTTGATACCAAGTTTCTACGTAAGGGAGCGTATTAAGTCACGTGATAAGATTGGACATTCACAGTCATGCTGAGTAGGAAAATCCCATATCAAGTGGGAAAATCCCATATCAAGTACATAAAATACAAGGATGCAAACTTTATGTTAAAACCCACCTGCACAATTTTTAGATTAGATGCACATTTTATGTTAAAACTCACATGCATAATTTCCACATGTAGGAAATGAGTGAGTGCCATGTGTCTAATTGGGGCCTATGTTTGGTCGAAGTAAGCACCATGATATGGGACCTATTCTATTGTAGTCTACAATTCAGATTGGAGGTGGTATGTAAGATGTGTCTCATGTGGCAAGATATGATGCATATCTCCTCCTTTGATTTAATTTTATTTGAATTAAAAAGCTAAGAGAGATTTTAGGAAGATCATGTTAGGGTTAGTTAGAGATTGATTAGAAACAAACTTATAGCTGTCAAACTTTGAGTAAATTAAGGAACAACACAAACATGGAGGTAATGGGAAGTGGGCCAAAAATCATAAGCAACTACTCCAGCATCAAAGTAAAAGAAAACAATGGAAGAAAATTCAGCTTTTTAAGGCCTAACCCTCTTGAAAATCACCCATCACACATGTTCTTAGTTTTAAATCAATTTGTTAGTTTTCTACACATATTCTAAATTTCAGTTTGTAGATTTCTTATTTTTCATTGTTATTTACGACTTTTGATTGTAGAACTAGGAAGTGAACCAACCTTTTAATTTAGGTCTCTCTTGTTGATTTGATTGGTGATTTTTAATGAATTCTACTCCTTTAAGTGATTCATATCAAAGTTATCTGTTTACTTCCATCATGATTTTTGTAGAAGATAATGCCTTTAGGTTTTCATTATTGTAAAAGAGTATATATACATGTGGTATGCTATAAAATACCTTAACTACCCTTTATACATAGACTATAATACATATACATTATCATCCCCCCCTCAATTTGAGCGGGCATACAAAGCACGTTCAAATTGGCCCTTTGAGTATGAATAAAGGCATAGAAAGAGCCTTAGTTAAGATATATGCACGTTGGAAATAAGAAGAAACATGCCGAACAGATAGAACCCCGGAAGCAATCTTCTCTCACACAAAATGAATATCAATCTCAATATGCTTAGTCCTCTGATGCTGAACAGGATTAATAGATTGATATATAGCACTAAGATTGTTACAAAATAGCATCAGGGCTGTAGGAAGAAAACTATAAAGTTCAAAGAGTAGCTGATGAACCCATAAAACCTTAGCACTAGCATTACCAAGAGCACGATATTCAACTTCTGCACTAGAACAAGCAACAGTGTTTTGTTTTTTGGATGACCAACAAATAAGAGAATTACTCATAAATAAGCAAATAGCCAGAAATAGACTGACGAGTATCAATACAACCTACCCAATTCGCATAAGTAAACATATGCAAAGAAAGCAAAAAACGACGATAAAGCTATAAACCATCGTCCATGGTGCCTTTCAAATACCGTAAGATTTGTTTCACAGCTTGAAAATGAGAAATAGTAAGCTTATGCATAAACTGACAAACTTGACTTATTGCAAAAGCAATATCAGGTAGAGTAAAAGTGAGATACTGGAGAGCACCACCAATACTTTGATACAAAGAGGAGTCATGATACAAAGCACCACCATCAATAGTTAGTTTTAGCTACAGACTTAAGGTGTGGAGGCTGGCTTACAATCATGCATTCCACTTTTATCAAGCAAATTAGCAATGTATTTAGATTGAGATAAGAGCAGGCTAGTATCATTAAATTGAGCACTAATGCCAAGAAAATAATGCAGAAATCCCAAATCAGTCATCTGAAATTCAGACTTTAATAAAGAAATAATTTTACCTAGCAGAAGTGGAGATGAAACTGTGAGAATAATATTATCCACATAAAGAAGAAGATAAGCTAGCAAACTAGATTTACAGAACACAAATAGAGACCAATCTGATTTAACCTGAACAAAGCCACAAGAGAGAAGAAAAGAAGTAAACTTGTGAAACCATACACCTGGAGCCTATTTCAAGCCATAAAGTGCTTTCTATAACTTACATACATAATCCAAATGAGCGAAATCAACAAAACCAGAAAGCTAAGACATGTAAACAATTTCAAACAAAGTACCATTAAGAAAAGCATTCTTGACATTAAGCTGAGGAATAGGCCGAGAACGAATAATTGCAAGGGAAAGCATAGTCTGAATAGTAACAGGCATGACAACAGGACTAAAAGTTTTGTCATAATCAATACCTGGTTATTGCGTGTAACCTTGAGCAACAAAGCATGCCTTTAATCTTTCAACACAACCATCCGCTCTCTGTTTAATCGATAGACCCATTTTGACCCAACTATATTAGCATTAGAGAGACGGGGAACATGACTCCAAGTGTTATTTCGAAGAAGAGCTAAAAATTCTTCCACCATTGTAGTGCACCAGTCTGGATCTTTACTAGCTTCTTGAACATTTCTAAGCTCTCTCAAAGCACAATCAATGGCAAGCAAAGAAGGTAAGACACGAACCTTACCGATGCCATCTTAGGACCGTGTGACCATGGAATGAGTTCTAGCACCATAAGGTACAACAAGTCTGGA